GATTACCGATTTTATATATATATATATATATATATATATATATATATATATATGTGTGTGTGTGTGTGTGTGTGTTTACTGCAAATTAACTATTAATAAAAGTCGTATTTATCATAAATAAGCTTTTTGTGCCCTGGTCGATGTTTAATATTTCTTACTAATAAACAGCCATGAGTCCATACGCTATAGTCATCAGACGATGAATAGTGTACAAAACGCAATCTTAAGATTTCGCTTAAAATAAAGAGTGAAGATTCTGTCACACGCATTTATGAAATATTTCATACATGTGTGTGACAGATAAAAATAATAGTTTTATTGTTTAAAGTCGATCAACATCACAGTACAGAAACTACGTGCAGCAATAGTTCCGCGCTGGACAATGAAGGAACATAGTGAAAATCCTCGCCGTTTTTAAGCCTATTCGGATAAAAAGTGACTTAGTGGCCTTTTTACAACCACTAAATATAATTGTAAAAAAAATTGCCATAAATTCATCAGAACAACATTATACACCGCGATCGCTTGCCTCTGTTATGGCACTTCTCGATTGTTGAGAGCACTTTCCCTTTAGATACTACAAACTCCCGTTTTATTACTAACAGGCAACGTCTTTAAATGTGTAATGTTGGTAAACTTGCTTATATATAAGTTATTCGAATCATGTACTGGATGTACCTACAGATATGATCATTAATAGATCATTGTAGAAAGAATGAGATTAGGGGAGGATGAAATGGCGACAGCGCCGATCTGTGTTACCTTCACTAAAGAAAAACGCTTCAATTTTTTTATTCCTTGAGCCGTCTTAGTCTAAAACCACCACAAATGTGTAGATTAGGGTCTTTTCTGTGCAAAGTGTCCATCATTTTAGATGTGATTTTCGAATTTTAATATATAATCTACAAAAGAACAGAGGAAGTGCGATATTTCCCGCTGCGACTCGCACTAAATGTGGACGCGTTTTTATTATTCTACAATAAACCGAGCGATGTTTTACACGAAACATGAGCTGCCCTTAAAGAGGAAAGACTCAGCTATCGGGACGTGGTTTAAAGTCTACAATCCATCGATCTTTATCGCGGAAAACCTTGTGTTTTTCAAGATCAGAAAACACATCTACGAACGACTCTGTCCTGTTGAGAGCGTCGGGTGAGGCAGTTGAGTCTATATGGTTCTCATCTCCCTTTTAAATCCCGCCCTCAGCTGTTGGATGTAAACATTGTTTGTTTGACAGCTCTGTACTTCGTGACAAGTTTACTGAAACTATGGCAGAAACTGCTCCTGCTCCCGCGGCTGCTCCGGCCAAAGCCCAAAAGAAGAAGGCGGCAAAGGCGAAAAAGTCTGGACCAAGCGTGTCAGACCTTATCGTGAAGGCGGTTGGCGCTTCCAACGAGCGCAGAGGAGTTTCTCTCGCGGCTCTGAAGAAGGCTTTGGCAGGTGGTGGATATGACGTTGAGAAAAACAACTCTCGCGTCAAGATTGCTTTGAAATCGCTGGTGAAAAAGGGGGCGCTTGTTCAAACTAAAGGCACCGGGGCATCCGGATCTTTCAAGGTGAGCAAGAAACCAGCCGCCAAGAAGCCCGTTAACAAAGTTGTGGTGAAACCGAAGAAACCAGCCTTGAAGAAGAAGGCGGCGGCCAAGGCGGCGAAGCCCAAAAAGGCACCAGTAAAGAAACCTGCCCCGAAGAAGTCTCCCAAGAAAGTGAAGAAACCGGCTGCGCCCAAGAAAGCCGCCAAAAGCCCGAAGAAAGTGAAGAAACCGGCTGTGAAGAAAGTTGCAAAGAGTCCTAAGAAGGTCAAAGCAGTGAAGCCTAAAGCCGCAAAGCCCAAGGCTGCCAAGGCGAAGAAGACGGCCGCTAAGAAGAAGTAGACTGACAGACTTCACTCCATAAACCAAAGGCTCTTGTAAGAGCCACCCCATCTTCACAAAAGTGCAAATGTTCCTAACGCATGTAAGAAGGCTAATGCCTTTTTAATAGACTGAGAAAATGTTTGTTGGGTGGGATGTGACACTTTTTGAGCTGTCTTGTTGGATAGGGTCTTATTGCTTATAGATATCACCAGCGCGAACGAGCAGCACAGATACGTCTGTAAAAGATCGGTTTGTATAAACACATGACAGTCTACCTCTGTACCTGATGTACAAAACCGATTATTTGCTGTAGCTTTTCAATCCTTCACAGATTAGACAGAAGAGTCCGCTGGTTGGAAAGTGTCCGAAATGTCATTCATAGTTAGTTCATCGTGTGCACGTACGTGAGAGTTTATGTGACTAAACAGGATGAGTGTTGTCACATGTCACTGATTCGTGTAATATTTATATTTTGTATAGGATTATACTAGACTTTCCTGTAAATATAGCAATACAGAACACACATTTAATGTATTCATTGTTAATGGTTTGTTGAATGTTACTACAAAAGGCAAGATTGCATCAGTTGTTGTTTATTTTTTTATTTTTTGTATACTATTGTTCTTAACATTTACTCATAAACCTATATTTTGTCCAAAATCTGTTTTAGTATAAAACTCCCAATAAAAACAAATATGGTATCAGCAGATGAGTGCCCATTTGTTTTCTTTATCTGCTTAAGAGAATGTACATTAATGTTAAATTGAATGTTTTTAAATTAAGGGCACATTTTTCTTATTAAAAGCCATTGAATACTTTGGGCAGACCTCTTTTTTGTATAAAAAAAAAATCAACTTTTTTTTTTAGCTTAAAATTGATATGAGTGTGTATGGGAATGTAAATGTAACTGGACATGATTTCACCATTTTGATTTAAGTTTTTCACAATTTTGATTGTTTTTGCCTGTGGATTGGCAAATGTAAATATTCAAAGTAGTTCATCAAATAATATGAGGTAAAAAAAAAAAGCAGCAGGTAAAAGAAGAGAAAAACAACAACCTGTCAGTGCCTTTTCCCTTTATGAGTGAATACAGGAGTCGTTTCAAAGTCAGGTGTTAAAGTAAACAAAAATATTCAAGATGACAGACATATGATTATTATTTCCTCCATTAACATATCTAACTGAAAAAGACTGAGCATTGTTCAAGTAGAAATAATAGTTGGTACTGCATTATTAGCTTTATATGATAAAAATTAATTTTAAAGCTCTGTATGGAATCTATATATATCTCACAATGAGTGACCTTTTGAATGATTCATGAGCAGAGTAATGTAGAAACAGCACTCAAAAACAGGTCTCTAAGCCAGTTCAATTACTCATGGTCTTACTCATTATTTTCAAAACACACCACCAAAACATATTTAAAGATCACAATATTCCAGAGATACTAGGAGATTCACTTTCATTATGAGCCACATGTTCAAGAGACGCTAACTCGTCTTCTTTTGTAAATGGTATGATTTTATCCAATGATAGTTCTGTTTCTCCATGACTTAGCATAGGAGGCCTTTCCCCATATACAAAGTTACATTCAGTCTCATAAGGGACTTCAGCCATCTTTGACACTGTGTCAAAGCACATATCTTTATCACTTTCCTCCCTGACAGCATGCGGATGCAGACAGGGCTGACTGAAGAGGTGAATGTCTTGAAGGTTTGTGGAGTCGCGATGGTATGACACCAGCTCATTGCTGAAGTCAACCGTTTGCACAGTATTCCGAGAGCACAACTTCCCACATCCCAAGAGACTGGAGAAAGCTTTGCGGAATTCTGCATTAAATGCATAAACTACAGGATTCAAGGTAGAGTTCGCCCACCCACACCACACGAACACATCAAAAGTCGTCTTATTGACACATGGGATCTGTCCGGTGTTGTGGAGGCCAGGGTCACAAAATGGCACCATGCAGTTGAGAATGAAGAAAGGGAGCCAACAGCAGACAAACACACCCATGATCATCGACAGGGTTTTCAGGACTTTGGTTTCCCTCTTAAATGCACTTTTTAATTTCTCTTCAGGTGCTTTATTGCAGCTCTGGCAGGACTGAACATGCTTAATGGTGCACTCTTGCATTGATATCCTTCGGATCTGCCTTTGCGCTATGAGGAAGATGTGAGTGTAAGTGACAATCATTATGGAGACAGGGATGTAGAAGCTGATTACAGATGACGTGATGGCGTAAGTGCGGTTTAAACTGGCATCGCACTTTTCAGCCATTTCTCCCAGGTCTTCTTTATGGCGGAGACTCTTATGCCAACTTAGCTGCACAGGAATGAATGAGATCAGAACAGAGAGCATCCATGCCACTCCAATCATGACAAAAGCCACTCTTCTGGTCATTTTCTGCTCGTAGCTCAAAGGGATAGCAATAGCCCAGTAACGATCCACACTTATGATGCACAGGTTAAGAATGGAGGCAGTGGAGCACATGATGTCAAAGGCTATCCATACTTCACAGAAACTGCCGAACGGCCAGAAACCCACAATCTCAGCGGCTACTTTCCATGGCATTACAAGAGAGGCAACTAAGAGATCTGAGACGGCCAAAGACACTACAAACACATACGCCACTTTGGAGCGCAGATGACGGAACCGTACCACTGCGGTGCACACCAGAGCATTCCCTAGAAAGGTGGAGAGCACAAAAATAAAAAGCAAACAAGCAGTCGTGGAGCGAGTTATTAGCTCTGAGACATAACCTTCAGTCTGGTTTACCATCTTCTGGGATGTCCCTATTACCCTGGCTGCAACCTGAAAAATTAAGTCCTTTGATCAAGCATCCGTTCTTCGGGGTATATTTGCAGATAGTTTAATATCCAAAGACTTCAGGAATTCATCCATTACTGAGAGAGTTGCCTGTAATTTGAAAATTTCTGAAATAACCTTCCCTCCTTCCTTCAACCAGAGAAGTGTGTGAGAATACAGTGCAGAGGGTGCGACTAATGATCTTGGAACTAGGGGGGAGGAGCCTAAGAAAATACAGTAGAGAGGGAGACTGTGACTGCTGTCATGTATATTATGGTATATATTATTCATTAATTTTTTATATATTTTATGTTTTCAGTAATCAGGCTTTTTCAAAGTAATTCTAATACTTATTAAAGAATTAAAGCAAGTGGAAAATCTTTCTCAGAACACATCTGTAATCTGACTAGTGAAGTCTAATTAGCATTTATGCATTAATTTACGGTTCTGTTCTCCTAAATTCACCGTTATCCACAAGATGGCACTATACATTAATATCCCACAAGAGAAGAAACAGCGGTTCCAGTGATGAGATGTCCGACTCATTTCAGCGAAACGAATCTTTCGAACTGTTCGTTTTAAAGAACCAGTTCAAAAAAAGCTGTTATGTTCAGCTGTTGTTTTACGTCATTGCGTAATTTGTCCCCGATCAACTTTTATTTATCCATATCAGTTTACAGCCACGATTACGTTCATAAAATATATGTAGAACCTAAAATAAATTGCATTGGCAATAAACAATCGTACACAGATGTAGCAGAAATTTCTTTGCTGAAAAAGGTATTTATTAAAACCAATGTTTGAGCTAAATGTGAGCTACCATAGGCTACTACTGTTTCTATTTCTACTGCATTGTTTTTATATGGCAGAAATATTAAGACTAGTATGTTTGCTAGGACAAACAAATGAATGGATGGATAGTATGCATGCTAGCCTATGCTTTGCCGAATTCAGCTACGAATCAGAAAGAATCATTCAGTCCGGTTTTGTGAAGCGGTTCAACGGATTCAATGACAAGATCGCATTAAAAAGGATTCGTTCAAGAATTGAAAATAACTATGAGGTTAACTAATGATATTTGTTTTACTGGAATATATTCGTCCCAAACCAAAGCGACAACAGCAACGTACATAGCCTACTATTAGTGAAATGTGTTTGCTTCCCCTCCTCCAGAAAACTCTCCACCAGTCACCTAAAGTGCTCGTCAGGCTAGGATATTATTTAATCCATCACATTTATTATTTTTGGTTTAAAACAACCGACTTTTTAGGCACGTACATCATGTCTGTTTCCTCAAAAAATCCAGTTTATGTGCCCGTGCGACTGGAGGTCCATGAGGTCACCAGCCCACAGTGGTGGGCGTGAGGGGGCAGTTCTACAAGGAGTAAACTTTGTTTCGACTTTCCTGAAATTGTAGGAGATCAACCAGTGAAAGTTTAGGGGATGTGCAACAGCTGAGAGAAGCAGAGATTCACAATCGGAGGAGTATTCTACTGTGAAAGTTGCACTCGCAGCCAAAGTAAGCTGACAACTGCATCTGCTTTGCTTTATTAAGCTATTGTATAATCGCATTTTTTTTTTGCTTCTTGCAAAGAAAATAATCAGAGTTGTACTGAATATTTCGTTTAAATCTGTTACCTGACATTCTGGTTTTACAAAACAGCACGTTAATTTGTAAGATAGAAGAGAGAGAGAGAGAACAATGCTTCGAATGGTTACGTATGACGTCATGCTTGAGTTAGTGGGATAGAATGCAAGTACGAGCAGTTTATGACTAAAGTTGTGCTGTGGTGTTGGTTTATGTGATTGCATAAGATATATTTCTACTCAAATGTTTTTAACGACAACCTGTTTACATGATTCACTATTAATGAACATTACAGCCTCCGCAAAAGGGGATCTGTGCCTTTGCTATTTGTTCAGGTAGAACACTGGGTTATTGTGTTTAGGTAGTATTACACAGGACTGTGACCCCTTGACATATATCCTGTCAGAATCCTATTCATGGTGGGCAGGGGACTTGCTGTCTGGAAGCGCAAAATACTAACAGACAAGAACCAGGTCTTTAGGACAGGAATGTGAGGTAGTTCCAAAGCTGTAGATGGCTCAGAGCAATAGGTCTTGTCCAGGCGAACAAACGTATACCAAATACATTTCTGAACAAACCCTTTGGGTGTGTGAGCCAAATACAGAAATGTACCAAATACATTTCTGAACAAACCCTTTGGGTGTGGTGAGCTTTAGGTAAATTCCCTTTAGACCAAGCACATTTTTAAAAGAATTGACACAGTAGGCTGCTGTAGAGCAGATTGAAATTTTGGCCAATCATTGAGACTTCTGGGGCCCATGTCTGTTTGCCACATGCATTTGGACAATGCGTCCTATGATCTTGAAAAGATCCTGAAAGATTTATTCATGCTTGTGTAATTTAGTTTACACATTTAGTTTTAGTTTAGGTTACAGGCTTCACCATTGTGATATATTTTAGATGATAACTTTTTGAATGTGTTTGAGAAAGTGAGCGAAAGTCTTAAAAAGTGCTTTTGTTGAAGTGCCTCTTTTATCTTGGAGTGGCAACCTTAAGGGAACCCTTGGAAGCATGTTAGGTTTTTTTTTTTTTGCTTTTAAGACAAACGCTTGCATGCCAGTGGGTACTGGAGAACCAAAACGTCTTGAAGACTCACTCTGTTAATCACTTTTCTGCACAGTGGGATTCACACAGTTGAGAACCCTAGCATGTATTTAGCGGTTTTTAATTTAATACTTTTTTAATTAATAATTTTTATTGTCAAATTATATTATCAGCATTAAAAATAGAGAAAACTGAATTGGGGAAAAAAGGCATTGCACATTGCATAACCTGATCAGCCATATATATTTGTTATATATTTATATATTATTGTTATATATTTGAAAATGACCTTTTGTACAAAAGACTTCACAATGTCTCAAATTTGCTTAGTTGAATAATTAAGATGTAAAACTAGTTCAGAATCCCAAATCATTATTATTCAACTTACATCCTAAAACATTCTGTGTATTACCATGTTTAAATTAGGTTTTCAATTTAGGTTTTCAGATTTTCAATTTGAATTTTGTACTCCACTGTGTATGAAGTGTTTTCCCCCCAGTCAGGAAACCAGTTACCTTATCCCCATTAAAGTGTCATCTGTCAAACTTTATTTTCAATTAAACTGTGTTTTCTGATAAGAACATGATTCTTTTCCTTGATATTCGAAGTGAATTTTATATGTTTCTGGTTAGGGCATGGACATTGTAGATGAATAGTACAGCGTGGTCTAAACAAGTCTCTGTGTCCTCATTATTGCACTCTTTGATGTGGGCTGATTTGGTGATGGATGAGAATTCACATGCTATTCTCCTTGAGCTCAAGACTTTGATAAAAGTGCTTTTGATTAAAAAAGTACACATAAATGGCCAGCTGGAAATTGTTACAGAGGAGGACCCGAACATCTCAGCAGCCGCCTATCCGCAGTAGCCTTCCACCTGCTCAGACACCCCCAATCAGTCCACGACTCGTTTTCCCCAAAAAATTTGATGGTGAACCCGCCAGATGCAAAGGCTTCCTACTCCAGTGCTCACTTTTTGTTAGCCAGCAGCCCTCGCTGTACCCCACAGACTCTAGCCGCATTGCTTTCGTTTGCTCATTACTCACTGGGAAGGCGCTGGAGTGGGTCACCGCTGTCTGGAGGATGAATGGTTCGTCATTTCCTACCTTCGATGCATTCCTTCAACATTTCCGTGATGTTTTCGAACATCCAGCTGAGGGGAGGAGTGCAGGTGATCAACTGTTAACTCTCTCTCAAGGGAGAAAATAGGCCGCTGAGTATGCCCTATCCTTTCGAACCCTCGCGGCTCAGACTACATGGGTAGAGGACACGCTAAAGCTCTTGTTTCGGAGGGGATTGAATTTAGAGCTTCAATCAGAGCTGGCCTGCCGGGATGAGGGGAAGAGTTTGAGTGAGTTCATTGAACTCGCTATCCAAATTGACAATTTGATCCGCTCTCGACGCTCAACTCGAGCCACGCCTCGTTACATGCCTGAAACCACTACCACAGTCGAACCCATGCAACTAGGATTCACTCACCTCACTTCCGAGGAACGAGAACGCCGCATGCAGAACCAACTTTGCCTCTATTGTGGTCAAGCCGTACACATTAAAATCTCCTGCCCGGTCCGTCCGTCTTCCAGTTTTCGATCGGTGAGTGTCAATACTCGTATTGCAACTTCTGCATCTGCATTTATTCAAGACAAAATAATTACCACTACTGCTCTGTTAGATTCTGGAGCAGCCGGTAATTTTGTGTCATATGATTTCGCTCTGCAACATAAACTGAAACTAACCCCGTGTAACTCTCCCATGGCAGTGGAGGCGCTAGACGGCCGCCCTCTCGGAGAGGGAAAGGTTCTACGCATCACAGAAGAAGTCAAGTTGCAAATAGGAACCCTGCACTCTGAATTCATCCGATTCTACGTCATCCACTCGCCCAATCACTCTATTATTCTCGGATTACCCTGGCTGCGCACACATAATCCACGCATCTCTTGGAGAGAAGGACAAATTCTTCAGTGGGCCGCTACATGCCAAGATCGTTGTCTCTCAAAGATTCCCCGAGCTTCCAGTCATGCACCTTCCCCACCTGTTCAGAGCACAGACAACCTGAACCTGCCCCCAGAGTACTCTGATCTCACCGAGGCGTTCAGTAAAAAGAAAGCATCTCAGCTCCCCACTCACATGCCATAGACTTAACGCCCGGCGCCACTCCTCCTAAAGGTAGAATTTTCCCATTATCACAACCAGAATCCGAAGCCATGAAACTCTACATCGAGGAGGAATTAGCTAAAGGATTCATCCAACCCTTGACCTCTCCCGCTTCAGCCGGGTTCTTCTTTGTAAAGAAAAAGGATGGAGGTTTGCGGCCGTGCATTGATTACCGTGGCCTCAACGATA